TCTAAACCTCCCCAGGTGACTCTAATGTGCAGCCAAGATTGAGAACCACTGCTCTAGCTTCCAGAAACCCAAAGCACAGACGTCCCAGGCCTCCTCCATAAGCTCATTAGGGGCAGAAAGGACAGGAGACCTAAGCAGGCATGCTCATTCCCCTCCAACACAAATCAGGACCAACCTGCAAGGAGCCATCTGTCTGAGACAGAATGTAAGGTCCCTGCCTGGCCCCGCCTGGCTAGAGCGTACCAAGTTCTACCCTGCTGGAAGATGTACAAGTGTGTGTATTTGATTACTTTAGGCATGTAAACAAAATGTGATACTGTGCAAACCTGAGGTGACATACGCCACAACATAATCTGAGACATCTGGATTACAACCACACACACACACACACACACACACACACACACACACACGTTAGAAACCCTTTAACAATCTCTTTGAATGCAAAATGAAATCCGAAAGAATGGTGATGCTTCTAGTGAGCTGCCAGATTTATTTCCTGCTTCCCCCAGAAGGTCACTGGGAATAATTATATTTTCTTGTGAATCTGTCTTTTGTAAGGATGAAGCAAAACATTTCAGTCTTCCCAATTGGCACTGTCTTCAGTCCTGCAGAAAATTCAGAATTCAATCACAAAAAAAAAAAAAAAAAGGCATAGGAAAGGGAGCGGGAGGGAGAAAAGGCAGTTAAAATTTCTAAGTTTCCCTGTGGTGTTAACAAGACTAAACAAAATTTATACTTAGAGATAAAACAGAACCCAGTGCCTCCGTCTTATAAATACCCCAACCAATATGATGGTGCATGGGAAGCAAGAAGGCCCTGAAGCCAGATACACTGGATAGTCCTACTGGCTTCTCTGCCTTCCATTTGTGTGGCCTTTCTGAATCTCAGACTGTTCAGCTGTAACTGCAGGCTGGCTTTGGGAAATTAGAATGTATGGAAAGCCCCAAGCCTAGGGGTCACCTTCAACAACCAGTGGGTACTGCTACGGATCTTTCGATAGTCTCCATCCATAGATCCAGTCTATGGATCTTTCAGCATCCATTTGGGAAGAAACCTTGAGAACTATACTATACCAGTGCAGAGAATGAATCTGTCTCTGTGTGTAACAGGAGAATGTAAGGAGGGAGTAGTCAGGAGTTGGCTTGCTACAGCATTCTGGGGTCAAAAGAGCTGTTTACCAACATGACTTGCTTTTTCTCTCCTGAGAGCAGCGCCGTGGAAAAAGTCCCTCCAGAGACGCACAGACGCCTAGGAGGTACTCTCGTTTCCATGATGTTCCTGCATGGTCTGACCAAGCTGCCCCCATCCCCCATGCAAAAGGCAGCCCCCACAGCAGGAGAGAGGGAGAATGGTTAAAGAAGCAGGGGTGCCTGTCACACTTCTCTGTAACCCCTGACGTGATGTGAAAGTCTACAAGGTAGACCCTTTGAAATGCAAAATCTTCCTGAGTCCTTCAAATGTGTTTTTATTTTCTCCAGTTCCTAAGGCTGCTTTCAGACCCACCCATCATTTCCCCTCTCAATCAACCCACATTTAACAACAACAAAAAACAAAAACAAAAAGGCTAAGGAAAAGCTCAAGCATCTCCAGTCCCTTCGAGGAAAAAAAAAAAATACTGTCCTTAGCTCCAGCCTGCTGGCATCCCCTGCCAAGATACCCTGAAGCCAAGTTTCCTCCGGAAGATTTCCTCACATCCTAACTGCTCAGGAGCTCAGAGGACTTTCTTAGACAAGAATCCAGGTTCCCTCTGACCCAAGTTTGTTAAGGTTGACAGGCACCACCAAAACCACAACCTGAAGCTTACAAAACCCAAACCGTGTCCCCAAACCATGTCCACAGGAGGTTTGGATTAAGTATCAAAGAATTTACCTTAAAAAACAATGTTGTTTGGCAAAGAAAATTACTTCACCATAAGAAGAACCCTAGGGAACAGTAAATTGCTTTTGAATATAGACTTTTCAGTGGCATGGTCATTAATCATGTTAATGTAAACTGCACTAAAACAAAAATTTTCTAAGCAAGTCTCAGGGCACATCAGCATATCTAAGCCTCTGGGTTTGTTTCCAAAGTTCACATCCCAGCACGCAATGAAACTACTGTTAATGGGGTCAGCTATTATAGCGCAGTTCCCAACCCTGGGCCATAATAAAGGTGACTCAGTTGTGCAGAAAGAACCTTCATAAAATTAGGCATGAAATAAACAAAGAAATGAACCAGGGGAGAGTCAGTGATTTTTGGAAAAGTGTTTTCATTCAACAAATTTAAACAGGAACTCTCCCCTGTATGATCAGATGTTTAAGAAAGAGACCAAGGAAGACGGCCAACACTCCTTGCAGCACCTAAGTCCCTCGGCCAGGCCTTGTTTTGTAAGGTGGAGGACAGGGCAGCCACTGAACAAGACGATGAGGAGCTGTGGAGCCCAACAGAGAAGAGCTGTGCTGAGCCCAGCCAGACCCAGCCATGTGCTTCCCACTGGCAACAAACTGGTTCTTTCAAGAGAGGAGTCTGACAAAATGGACAGCTGCAGCAAGGCAGAGGCTGAGAGGCACAAATCTCAAAATTCCCTGAAATTTGGATTCTCTCTTTAAGTTAAAACAAAAACCAACCACCGTTAGGGTTTGCAAGGACTAGTTAATCTACTAAATAAGTCTTCCCCCTTGCTGGATCAATTAAAGAGAGTCTGTCCACATCTGGTTTCCATCTAAAACAGAAACTTGTATTATCAGCATATTACATAACAAATTATGCCTGCAGGTTTCTTTTATTACACATCAGAGAGGTGTGCATGGTGGTGGTAATGATGGGGGTGGTGCTGATCTGAATATTTGCTTATTTCATTCCTTTTTTTTTTTAAGGATAAGTACAAGAAGTTTTCATACAGTGTACAGATTAATTCCAGAAAGCCACACTGCCTGGATAAAACATCAACTGAACAACTGGAAGGTGGCCCCAGTACTGTCTTCAGTGCCCGCTGATGGAGGAGTTACTGGGAAGGGTGTGACTTTTTAAAGAGCTCTACAGACACCACACTGCTCCGCAGCGTCCCCTGCTGCCAGCTTCCAGTATTTAAACAACCCTCCCCGCACCCTCGCCCAGCCTTCGCAAGGGAAGGAGAGCAGGCTGTCCTTGCCTGAGCTTCCATCACAGGGCAGGCGCCTGCTCACTGGTCCCACTTAAAGGACACCCTGCCCACTAGGTTTCACAGAGCTGGGGGGACGGGGTGGCAGGAGGGCAGTGAAGGAATCAACAGTGGGTAAGAGAATGATTAAAAGATGAAAAAAGAAAGACCCCAGGAAATACTATCGGGGCTCCCTGAAAAATGTCAGTGAGGGTATCTCACGGCTGTTTCCAAAAGAACTTTACGAACTTCTAAAATACCATTAAGTGCAACATACCCTAAGTTGAAAACAGAAGGGAGACACTGATTAAAAACATTATCAATTAAAAGCAGAGCAATGTCCTGACAGGGTTAGAACAACCCTCAAGGGCACCTTTACATCAATGATACTGCTCGCTTTTATTTACAATTTGTCTTTGATATCAAAATCTCACCTTCTCAGGCAAAAACAATAAGTCTTTGCAGAAAATTATTTTAATTTTCTTTAATGGTCTTCTCTGACCAAACATTTGGGAGAGAAATGCAGGCCCTCCCCAAGCCTCTCCTTAGATTTCTTGTGTGGAACAGCGCCTTAGAAGCTGCATCGGTCCACAAGATGAGTGACAGCATCTACAATGACCTTCTCCAAGTACAGACAGGGTCATGGCTGCCAGTCCTGAACTGAACTGAAGACTCAAACCTCTTCCCACTAAAAGGACTCTAACCTTGTAGGAACAAGTGGCTGTTTTCTGTTCTGGTCTATGGCCATTGAGGGGGAGAAAAAAGACTAGACCTGCAATTCAGTATCAAAACTAAGTTACTGTTTGTTAAGCGGATAAATTAAAAGGAAACAACACCCTGGTCCAATCTGGAACAGTGAGTTTCACAGGGTGGGCAGATTCCATCCTTTCCAAAGTCCTTAAACCGGATGGCATCTTTTAATCCAGAGTCCAGGATCTGGAGCAAGGAGAGATCTCCCTTCCAGCCGGTGGGGACTGCTGGGAACACATATGCTAGCATATCATTTGGAAGTCTGCTAATATGTTGAAACAGCACAAGACATTTGCCTGGCTTCCCAGGCCAATAAACAATGCCATTCCAGCTCCTGCAACAGTCAATAGAAAACAGTCCCTTTTCTCCAACATCCAACAATTCAACAAACATTTGTTCCTGTTGAACAACCGTCAGCCTGGCTCCGTCTGCACCGGCTCCAGCAAGGCGAACACGGTGGCAGCAGCAGTGGCAAAATGCCCTGCCCAGGAGCCCGGACCAGAATGCAGCCCACCGCAGGGGCCACTTTCCCAATACCACCGAGTCCGGATTGTACCGTATGGAAGACTCGGAGTGTGGCCTATAGGAGGCAGAATCCCATTCATCAAATGCTGCAAAGAGATTTTCTTTGTTCACCATCATACTAAATACATACAGTACGTGTTAATAAACCCGGGCAGTCAGAGGGGAGAAAGCCAGTCATCGGAGGGTGCCCGAAGGGGAGGGATCCGAGCATGCTCGCCCGCGAGGCTCGCCACTGCTCCAGCTCCCTACCGGGCACTACGAGCATTGTTCCCCAAGTCCGCGCGGGGAAGGGGGTGGGGAATCGCTGCGGGGGGTGGGGGGAGAAGACACCTGGGACAGCGCAAACCGAGGACCCTCCCCTGATTTTGGGTTTCCTCGCCTCCTCCGTCCCCGCCCCACCAAGAGAAACCCCGACCAGGAAACCCGACTCCCACGGACTTGCAAATCAAGGACTGGCAAAAATGTGACCCGGCCCGTGTGCCTGTGACGGACGGCCCTCCTCGCCATGTGCAAAAGCCACGCCGGCAAGGGCGCCCCCACTCCGTGAGCCCTGGCTGTGGCCACCCCGCAGCCTTCCCCTTCTCGGGACAGTACGCCCTCTCACCCCCATCGCGACTGCACTGGCCAGTCCAGCAGCCGCGGAGTCGGCGACTGAGCGCCCGCATCCCGGGGGTGGCGGGTGCAAACTTCCGCGAACAAAAGAGTTGTCTGCAAACGATGCGGAACTTCGGGGCAAGCGAGGCCGCCCGGTTCCCGGGGCTCGGCGCCTTCGCCGCTGCTGCGAACCAGGACACAAGTTGAGACGCGGCGAAGAGGACACCCCGGAGCGCAGTCTTCCCCACGCCGGCCTGGCAGACCTGACCCGGAGAGCGCACACTTTTCCACAACGGCCAGTCTTGCTTGTTCCCCTGCCTGCGCGCTGACAAGTCTCACGCTTGCAGCAGGGACGACACTCAGCTCCAGAAGAAAGCACCCGACCCAACGCGAAGGAGAAACAAGGCAGAAAAAAAGGAAATCAACATTAGGGGAAAAGGAAAGCAAGCCCGGCGCGCACGCGAACCGGGCTCCTCCAGCCGGCGTCCAGGACGCACAAGCTGGGACCTCTGCGCGGGACCAGATTCCCAACTGCCATCGCCTCCGCCCGACCCGGGGTCGCTTACTGTGCGCGGCGGAGCGCTCCAGCCGTGGGCCCCGCGCCGTCACTGCCGGCGCTCGTCAAGTCGTCCGGGTTGCCCGCCGCGCGTCCGCCGCGCGCACGCTCTCCTGCCGGCGCCGAGCGCTTTGTACCGAGCGGCTCCCGGGGAGGAGGAAATCGGCTTGTCACTTCCTGAACTGTTCGCAACTCGTCCCTTTA